CACTGCAATTAATAAGATTATTATTGTTATAACTAGGATTCATCTAATTTTATCTAATGTCTCCGGAGGAACAAAAATGCACAAGTGAGCTGCTTTACCATTTTTCTCTCCTTCGTTCCTCTAATTAATTCAACTAATTGAGTGTAAAATTAACTTGGAAGAGCATACAACTAATATGTGTCCTTATTCGTGCCTCCTGTTTACGATCCCTATTTCTGCATGCATACTTAAACAACGAGCAAATCAAATTATACTTAGTTTAATCTTTTACATTATGAGCAATGCCTAGGAAAACGAAAACAAAAAACAAAAACAAATATTGATTTTTAACGATGGTGTTTAACAAAAACAGGTGCAAAGGTGCGCCGAGGACCGTACAGTGTTGATAACAACCTACGAGGGGAGTCACAACCACCCACTGCCGCCAGCGGCAATGGCGATGGCCTCGACGACATCCTCCGCGGCGAGGATGCTGCTCTCCGGCTCAATGTCCAGCGCCGACGGCCTAATGAACTCCAACTTCCTCACCAGAACCCTCCTCCCGTGCTCCTCCAGCATGGCCACAATCTCAGCGTCGGCGCCGTTCCCCACTGTTACATTGGATCTAACCCAAACCCCAAACCCTCTCCACCTCCTCCAAAGGCAGCACCAGCAGCAACCGCCCAACCACCACCACATCCAGCTCCCTTTCCCCCAGGGTGGCAGCGGCAGCAGCTTCCCCGCCGCCGCTGCAGCTGCCTTGCTGCCCCAGATATTCGGGCTTCACAACCAGTCCAAATTCTCCGGGCTGCAGATGTCCCAAGATATCGACCACCACAGTGCTGCCGCCGCTCAGTTCGGGGGCCATCAGCAGAACCCGCTGGCCGATACGGCCGCCGCTATCGCCGCGGATCCTAACTTTACGGCGGCTCTAGCGGCGGCGATTAGTTCGATGATTAGTGGCGGCGGTGGTGGTGGGCAGGGAAATAGTAATGCAAATGCCACCGCTAGCAACAGTAATGGGGCAATAAATACGAGCAACACTAATGGCAGTAGTAATAATAATAATAGCACCGATAATAATAATAAAATTAGAAACTCTAGTTTTCCTGGAAAATAATTAACTTTCTGTTTGGGGCTCAATTTTTTTTTTTTTTTTGGTCTGGGTTGGGGTATTATTTTTTATTCATTGTTTTTTCCTTCTTTTTATTGATATATAGGGAGAGAGGGTGAGGGAAAGCATATAGAGTATACGTGTTGATTAATCTTTTTTTTGGGGTTTCTTCACGGCGGAGGAGGGGACAGGTTTAGGCTTTAGCTAAATTGCTAGTTAGGGTTTTTCTTTTATAGTTATGGTGAGGTAGAGTGTAATAATTTACTATAGGGTTTTGGGTAACTCTTTTTTTTTTTTTTTTTGTCTCCAAATAATTTCTTTCCAACTGTATGTCAATATTGAAAGAAGAAACAAAAGAAATGGACGAACCAGGGAAATTTTTGTTTAATATCTAATGAAACTAGCAGCTGTTTCAAATTTCAATATATCTTCTCTCTATGATTTATGTATTCATATTATCCTTTACTTATTATGCTCATTATTTGGAGATTCTTGCTCACAAAGTTTTTTTTTTTTTTTGGGTTGTTTGGATAGAAAGAAAAGAAAAGATATTTAGAGATAAATTGTAATATTCTAGGTGAATCCCACCGTGAAATGGAATGGTGAACTGGAGAAATTCATGGTTATAAATAAGAAACCATTTATAACTAACAAGTCGTGTTTTGGGATGAAATGAAGGAGTTATTGTAAATACCCCAAATTAAACGTGCTCACTATGAAGCGCTGCAAGGATGAGTGAGCTTATGAGAAATCATCTTAACATGCACCTCAAAACCAAAATCTTGAGAATCTAGACTCAAAACGAACAATATATCGTCAGAAAAAAAATCGCGATGTTATAGAAATCGCCCGTTAAGTATAAAATTTATTCTCATATCGGGAATGGCAAAAGAGGCTTGATTTGGTTGGCGAGAGAGCGAGTTGGTATTGCAAGTTTTCGTATAGCCTCCTTTGATTTTGAGTATGACATTTACTATATCGGTATAATTTTAATTAAGAAAATTCATTTATAAGAAGAAATTTTTTTGGCAGTGTTGTATATTTTATCATCGTGAATAACGATTTGTCCAATGATAATACTAATGATCTTAAATCTGGGGTTCCAAATTCAATTTGTTTAAATATTACCTACTTAAAAATATAATTCTCCATTTGAAATATGCAATATTTATGAATTAGGCCAGAGGAGGCGGTCATCTAACTAAAGAATCAAGTCAACGAATTCGTCTCTTGTAAGGTCAATTACATGTTATCTTATAGCGGGGGTGTGCTCTACTATAAAATAAAAGGCAGTGAGATACTGAGATTTTCAGCAAGAGGTTGGGGGATTTGGTGGGTAGCAATTGATTCCTAATTGTCAGCTTCCTATATAGCTTCTTCTCTGGTTTTATTTGATGTCCTATATTTTGAAATGGCTAGTTTTTCTGATTATTCAGTGAAATGGTTAGTTGGGTGCATTGTATGTGAATTTAAGAGTTGGGGTTTTAAATAGGCGAGTGTATCTATAACTTCGGTATTTTCTTAATATTCTAAAAGGGTGTATAACTATTGTGCATTTAGTCATTCGATTTATTTGAGTTAAATCGTATAAAGGAGGAACTTTAGAATACTCCTAAATATTGGTGCTTTTAGATATGAGTTGAATTTGTAACGTAGAGATGAATTTTCTAATCATGAATTGACATTCGTAGAACACAGGTAGAGTCGTCCTCATTTTTGCGTAGCAGTGTAGCACTGAGCAGTGAAAATGCAGTTCATTTGCCTTCAAGGCGACTTAGCGAGCGTATGTGGCCTCTTTAATCTTTATAAAGTGCATGGAAAGGTTTGGGACGTGAAGTTAAAATGATTAACAACCTTTCCATCCTGAAGTGGGCGGGCTTAAGTCTTTCCTCAGCTCAGTTCCATTTTATGGGCTCGCAAAACTTTCTTGTTGTGCTCGTTAAATGCATTCTATCCCTATAAAACAAGCCCAATGCTTCAAAAGGTCCACCACCTACTTGGCTTTGGTTAGCAACTTAGCATGACAAATGAGAGTATTTTGGCCGCAATCAAAATTAAGGACTGTCAAACTAGGAGAAAAGGAAGCAAGAGTTTTGAGCAAATTTGATAATTAATATTAGTGGATAATACTTTTGAAATTCGTGAATGATGTATCGGATTAGTCTTTCTTAGGATGAGATATGATCGTAGGGATGGCAATGTGTGGGTTTGGGACGGATTTGTCTAATTCAATCTCATGATCTTCATTTTCAAATACTCAAACTCATACCCATCTCTTACCCATGCAGTGGAATATTATACAAACCCATCCCCATATCTGCGATTTTTGAATACCCTTGGATAATACCCACCCCATCAACTACTCACCATTAATTAAGAATATGGTGACAAATATGGATACGACTGGCCCAAATTTATGAAACTAATACATAAGAGGATGAAATTACGATTTGGTTGTCATCAGTTACGTTTTAACATGTTTTTTCTTTCAATTACTCTTCATTCCATTAACAAGTTACAATAGACTTCTTATATTTTATGCATATAACACAATATCCTTGGTGGGGTGGGTTTGAGTATGGGGCGGGGGAGTCTAAAACCATACTCATCAATCTTTTTGCGGGTTTTACCCATATTCAGTCAAAGCGGGGGTTCCCCGCGTTGACTGGGTCGAAGGCGGTCATCACTAATACTAGGTGTTAGCAGTTAGCATCATGTTGACACTTTCATTAATGATACTATAGTAATTTTCCTTCCCCACCTTCTTCTCCCCTTTCCTTTTCCTTTTCCCTTCCCCTCCTTATTTTCCTCTTTCTCTATGTTGGCAATAGGGGGTTAATTTCATAAATATTGTCTTTTTTTTTTAATTTTACCATTAATATGGTGGTTTAAAAACAATTTACACAAATATTGTGTTTTGTAGAGGATTAGCAGCGAGACCGCCCCAGACTCAGGCGGAGCCGCTGGCAGAGCCATCACGCCCGAGTATCAGACGAGGGCTCCCGTACTTTTTTATTTTGAATCCCTGCCACTCGTATCTTATCCCATCTCCTTCCTCCCCCCAGAAAACACCACCAACCCCGCTTCTCCTTCCTCCTCCAAGCAGCGGTCCCATCCGACTCCGAGCGGGCTTGCCTGGAGAGAAGGCGGCTTCGCCCCAGCCTCATCTAGCCTCACCTGAGACTCAAGCGGACCCGCCTCAGACCCGACCGATTTCGCCGACCACTTTTCATCAGCCAGCAGCATATCTAGATCCACAATGTCCGACGATGATGAACTAGTCACCGACAAAGGAAGGGGGAGAGGGTGGCGACCGCTACCGAGGTGAGTACTCGCCGGCGGCGACCGGATTTTTTTTAATTTAGTTTTTATTTTTTTATGTTCTGATTAATTTTTTCCCCCCTGTTCCTAGGCTTATGGATAGTTATTCCAAGAGACCACCATCTGCGACAATTGATACAACTCCGGTGGATCTGATACTTCTTTGGAGACATGGGCACCATCGTATTGACTCGGTTTGGGCAAACTACGTAAGTCGTTAAACTACTTCTATAGTTTTTTTATTAGGTGAACTCAACTGAAATTAGAATATAATTACGCATGAAATAAAATATATGTTAAAATTAGAATAAGTTTAAATTAGATATATAAATATTAAATACTAGGTGAACTGAATTTAGAAGTACACATGAAATTGAGTTAATATAAGTTTTTTGCACTATAGGCCGGTGATCGACCTTACCATATTCGAGGTACGAGCAATTTAGTCATGTACCATCCACATTATCAGACGTACCTCGTCGATGTGGGCTTGTTTACGGTTCTGCCATTGGTCCCTCTTACCGGTGATCCGTGTTTAATTACTGCGCTCGTAGAGCGTTGGCAACCCGAGACATCGACCTTCCACATGCCGTTTGGTGAGGTGACGATCACTTTAGAGGATGTTGCGACACTGACTGATTTAGCGATTGACTGTGATGCCGTCATAGTAGACATACCAAACGAGGACTGGTCGGTTCCGTGTCTTCGACTGTTAGGACGGGCTCCTACTGATCTTTCCAGCGGTGTGATTAGGATTGCTTGGCTCAGGAAACCTTTGATCAGCTACCGCCAAATGCATCACCAAAGACTACGGGCAGTTTGCACGAGCTTATGCTCTATCTCTGATGGGAGGTGTTTTGTTCCCCGATCGGTCTGGAGGTTCAGTTCATCTGCAGTACCTACTATTGGTGGAGGATTGGCATAGAGCTGGGAGGTTCGCCTGGGGAGCAGCTGTTCTATCCTACATGTACTGTGATATGGGTAAGTCGCTGCAAATGACGCAGTCCTCTTCACTAGGTGGTGACCTTGATGGATGGTCCGCCTTACTAATGCTCTGGCCGTGGGAGCGATTTCCTCATACAACACCACTACATACGGAGACGGGGACGCAGATTATCGAGGTCGCAGTCCCACGTGGCCTTCGATGGCTTCCGGCCCATACCCGTCTGCATGGTGATCAATTCTATCCGTACAAGTTGTGGTTTGACGAGAGCACGGCCTTCGTGGTTAGTATATAATATTTCGTTTTATAGAATAGTTTTTATTGGTTTGTTTTAGATTTAGGACTAATTATGTGACCAATATTTGTGCTTCTGTCTCCAACCTCATCTTATCGAATTTCTCCAACAATCGCCAATAGATATGTTGCACAAGAGAAGCTATAGGAAGTGAACGAATACCTTTGAAAACACCATTAATGCTCTCTGCCATGTTGGATGTCAGGATAGACCGACGACGCCCACCATTATAGTTATCATGTGCTAAGCTCCAACGAATCTAATGTTGGTCCACCCAGTTATCACAAGAAATATTTCTATCAGTGCCCACCTTCTTAAATTTCTCAACTTGACGATTGAACTTCTCCAAGCGTTTTTCTCCGGCTAACAAAATAAATAACCACACGAGTTAGATAAATTCATGACATAATCATATCAAACATAAATAATAAATTAAAATAAATAACAAAATCAAATGACGAAGGCTTACCGACTCAAAATAGTTGCTTATACTATAAGATTTCGATAAAACGAAGTACGCAACACACAATTTACGTGGTATCCCCGATGATCGGGACTAGTCCACGGGAGAGTTGAACTCTCCGGCTGAAATATTATTCACTGGAAACTTAGGGTTGGCCGCTGGCCTTACACATTGTTTTATACCCTTTGCAACATGATCCTAGGGCAATGCAATGTGGGCAATCTACTTTTACAGAGACGTGAGAAACAATGGGCTTCGCATCAGATGAGGTGCGGCCTTGGGCCTTTGCAACCGAGGAATGCAAGCCCAAATCCATTACTCCCCCGCAAGCTGTGGCGTGAAGATTGCGAACACGCAGCTTGGACAGGAGAAACTGAAAACGCTCGGCACCTAACCCTTTTGTGAACATATCAGCCAGCTGCAAATGAGAACTGATCTTTAAGGGTCGAATGTCTCCAGAGGTGACTCTCTCACGGACGAAATAACAGTCCATCTCCACATGCTTAGTACGCTCGTGGAAAACCGGGTTGGCTGCAATGTGGAGGGCAGCCTGATTATCACAATATAGATCTGTCGAGCCACGCTGCGAAGCGCCCAATTCTTGGAGGAGCCAGCGGAGCCAAAGGACTTCACTAACTATACTTGCCATGGCGCGATATTCAGCTTCAGCAGAGGAACGAGCCACAACCTGCTGCTTCTTCGTTCGCCATGAAACAGGAACCCCTCCTAGGGTGATAACATACCCTGTAGTAGACCTGCGGGTGGATTGACAACCACCCCAATCTGCATCACCAAAAGCAACTAGCTCAAGGGAATTCTTGGACGGAAAAAACAAACCTTGCCCAGGAGCTCCCTTGAGATATCGAAGTATTCGCTGAGCAGCCTCCATATGTGCACGGGTAGGTGCATGAACAAACTGACTGAGAATATTAACTCCATAAGTAATGTCAGGTCGTGTGACCGTCAAATAGAGCAGACGACCGACCAGGCGACGGTAAGCTGCAGGGTCGGGGTGATCTGCCGGTGCCGTCCGGGTGAGATGATGATTTTGCTCCACCGGGAAAGCACTTGGCCGACATCCAGTAACGCCGGAATCCGCTAAAATGTCCAACAGGTACTTCCGTTGACTGAGTATAATTCCTTCAGGAGATCGAGCAACTTCTAACCCCAGGAAATAACGCAGGCAGCCCAAATCCTTTATGGTGAAACGGGAATGGAAGAACTCCTTAACCTGGGCGATGAACTCCAGACTGGTGCCCGCAAGAATAACATCATCAACATAAATCAAGGCCACTACATGTGTACTCCCCCGATGATAGATAAACAAAGAATGATCAGCAGGTGAGGGTCGAAACTGTAGCTCACAGAGTGCTTGAGTGAACTTGTGATACCAGTTTCGAGAGGCCTGACGAAGACCATAGATCGACTTATGAAGACGGAAAACTCGAGTATCACCAGGTGCAGCAAAGCCTTGAGGAATACGCATATAAACTTCCTCATCGAGATCACCGTGAAGAAAAGCATTATTCACATCCAATTGATGGATGTGCCACCCTTTGCTGACTGCTACTGCCAGAAGGCAACGAACAGTAACCAGTTTCGCCACCGGCGCAAAAGTATCATGAAAGTCGACCCCTTCCACCTGAGTATAGCCTTTTGCAACCAAGCGGGCTTTGTATCTCTCAATGGAGCCATATGGGTAGAATTTTATTTTGTACACCCATTTGCAGTCAATGACTCGCTTGCCGGGAGGAAGAAAAACAAGGCTCCACGTGCCATTTTCTTCAAGGGCTGTGACCTCAGCCTGCATGGCTCGGCGCCAACATTCCTCCTTGATGGCTTCATAAAAACTTCGAGGTTCCGGATGATGAGCTACAGCTGCCAAGAAAGCACGATAATTAGTCGAAAAATTCTCATAGGAAACATGAGCAGATAAGGGGTATTGAGCAAAATGAGCTTGACTTCCCGTCTCATAATCATCAAGGTATTTGGGGCGCACGTGAGTGCGATTGCTGCGGCGAGCAGGGGGCGGGCTGGGGAAAAGCCCACGAATGGCCGGAACAGTGGCCTCCTGCGAAATTGCCTCAGCAGCAGGGCTAGGTGGGCCGGAACAGTCCACAGGCGATGACTGGGCCGTGGAGGAGCCTCGATGGCTGAGGCCCACTGCGTGAGGGACTTGATTGCGAGCTGGGCCTGGGCAAAGAGTGAGGCCCGCTGTGCATGAGATTTGGCCGCGGGCCGGGCTCGTCTTCAGAAGAGGAAGGCCCGCAAGGAGAGGCAGGCTGCAACACGGGGCCTGACTTTGACGAGGGCCCGGTGGGAGAATCACCCAAATTTGGGCTCACTGGACCATTTTCATCACCTGGGACGACCAACTCATCTTCAACATCAGCTGGTGCCCTCTCAAACACAGAACTCGGAACCCAGGGAAGTTGGCCACTGATGGAAGGCTGAAAAGGAAATACAGCTTCATGGAATTGAACATCCCGGCTAGTTATCATTCGTTGGGCGACTAAATCATAGGCTCGGTATCCTTTTTGATTAGCCGCATATCCCAGAAAAACACAAGCACGTCCTCGTTCATCGAACTTACCAAGGTGTGCGTGCGTGTCCTTGCAATAGACAAGGCAACCAAAAACCCGTAAATGAGAGTATGAAGCTGTCTTACCAAATAGGATCTCATAAGGTGTTCGTCCTGTGGCCTTAGTCGGTAAACGATTTATCAAATACGCTGCAGTGAGAACACATTCTCCCCAAAACTTGATCGGCAGGCATGCCTGAAAACGCAGAGCTCGCGCAGTCTCCAAGAGATGCCGATGCTTCCTCTCCACAACTCCATTATGCTGTGGTGTGTCAGTACAGGAAGTTTGCAGAACAATGCCTTCCTTTTCATAATACTCACGTAGCACATTAGTACAGAACTCCGGCCCATTATCCGTTTGAATGCACTTCACCTGTTTGCCAAACTGTGTGCGAACAAGATTGCAGAAAAACTGCAAATACCGACCAACTTCTGACTTAAATCTGATGAGATAAACCCAAACACCACGGCTAAAATCATCTACAATGGTCAAAGGCCCAAGGTCGCACCTCATCTGATGCGAAGCCCATTGTTTCTCACGTCTCTGTAAAAGTAGATTGCCCACATTGCATTGCCCTAGGATCATGTTGCAAAGGGTATAAAACAATGTGTAAGGCCAGCGGCCAACCCTAAGTTTCCAGTGAATAATATTTCAGCCGGAGAGTTCAACTCTCCCGTGGACTAGTCCCGATCATCGGGGATACCACGTAAATTGTGTGTTGCATACTTCGTTTTATCGAAATCTTACATGGTATCAGAGTTGGTTTGGCCAAGTGGTCGTGTGTTCGAATCTCCACGACCCCCAATATTAATCGTTGTCTTTCAAGCACATGGTATGGTGGGCCTGTGCAAACTTCAAGCCCATGAGTTGGCTTTCGTTTGAGGGGGCGTGTTAGAGAGTGGTATAAGATCCACGATTGAACCTCTCCCAACAACTCGAGTTATTGGGAGCAACTGGTTCTTGACATATACATAATCCTGCTTTTAGTCTTCCTTTGCAAATTGCTTGCATAGTGTCGCATCACCACCTCCACTCCCAACCTCTTCCGATGTTATTCATGGCTTCATAGAGTCCCACATGTCTATCTGAGATGATGCATATATCATTTCGATCGGTCAAACCTTGAACGTGACTTATGAACCATGGCCAACTATTAGTATTCTCGCTCTCCACTATGGCAAATGCAATTGGGAAAATCTTCTTTCGACCATCAAATGAGCTCGCCATGAGTAGCACTCCTTTATACTTACCAGTAAGAAATGTTCCATCAACAACCATGACTCCTGGACAATTCTTGAATCCATCTATACAAGGTCCATAAGCCTACAATACTCGTTCAAAGATCAAATGACCTGGTTGCGATGAAGGAACTCTTAATCAATCACTGATGTTGACATTTTTCTCTTTACCACCCGCAAGAATGTTTGCAAATAATCGTAGGATTCTTCCCAATTTCCATGCAACTTCTTCAATGCTCTTTGTTTCCCATACCAAGCCTTTTTGTAAGTAACTAGCATATTAAACTTATCTTTCAACTCGGCCTTCACAGTTAGAACACTCAGATTTGGTTGGGCACGTACCAAATGTTTTACAGCTCAGATATAACGTCTACATCAAGATGGCGATGATCCATCGATTGAGTCGTACTGCTACAAGAATGCACCAACTCAGCCTTTCTCACAGTCCATTCGCTTCCCACATCTCGACATCCAAACCGCACCATCCAAGGACAATTGTCATCCTTGTGCTTCAAACATCTGATCTTCCAGATTGAAGGTGACGACTCCACCACGTTATACTGAAAGTTGCGTTGTAGTGCGTAGTGTTTAATCGCCACCTGTGCAGCTTGTTTCGAGTGAAATATTTGCCCCTTGTAGAATTCTTCATCAAAACCAGCAACAATAGGCATTGGAATTACGCCATATGAATCAACATATGATAATCCGTCGTCCTCT